GAGGAGGAGGAGGAGGAGGAGGTGGCGGTGATGCAGAGGAGGGTCTCTGAATGTCGGGGTCGTTGGGTATTGATCCGCGACAGGCGGACAGACCTTCGATATTACGTGTTTTCGCGGGCGAGTGTAATAAACGTCAGTAACACGCCTCATGGCTCCTCTCCGCAGACGCCACGGCTGCTTGACGCACCCGCTCGAGAGTGCGGTGCTCGGGGTACTTTAGGCGGTTACCGAAATTTTCCCGCGAATGATGCAGATGCTAACGACCAGGCATCGAGGAAGCGCGAGGAGCTCGCGGATCGTATAGAAAGCGAAAGGTCGACGAAAGCGAAACAGTACGTATTCAATCGGCGCCGTGTTTTCGCCCATGTAATCCTGTTAACGTTCGCCGAATCACGAGGGATACAGATCGTGTCCGATCGGCCCCGAGCTCGGCCATACGCGTACAATCGCGCGTATCGTATTGTTCCCCCTCTTGTGCGTTACGCTACAAATAAAGTCGTAGCGACGAAGTAGGTATATTCCGATTGAGGAGAAAACGATAGGGTGGTCTCCCTCGATCGATTCTCTCGTCTTAAGGACTAGCTCTGAGATGTAGGTACCTGAGATCGGTGGCGGTTCGACGAGCGCGGAGGGCCCGAAGAAAGACGGTAGGTCGCTGCTGGTGGTGACCGGCGTGTTCAGGTCGCCGGGCTTATCCTTATCGTTCGTATCGTGAATGTCGCTCCTGCAATTCCTGATGCAGCTCTTGTCGTCGTCATCGGGCTGCCGGTGCCGCTTACCGTCCACGGTGTCGGTGGACGGCGAGGACGCATTGACGTGCACCAGCTGATGCTGGTGATGATCGTCCAATCGATGCTGGTCCACCAAGTGATGCTGATGATGCCGGCCGTGGTTGTGTTCCGAGGGGGGAGCGGTCGAGCTGATCTGAAGCTGCATATGTAGCGGCACGCTCGAGGACAGGGAGAGCTGCGGCGTGCTCTTGCCGCAGCTGCTCGAGGAGGAATTCGTGCAGGTCGCGTTAACGGGGGGCGGCCCGGTGACGCCGCAGGTGACCGAGCCGGACGAGGAGGCCGCGTTGTAAGGTAAACACGCGTCGAAGCTAAGCTGCACCGGCAAATTGAACGTCGCGTGATGATGATGATGATGGCCCAACGGCGGCGAGGAGAGCAGAAACGGGCTGGTGGCCGCGTGCGGCTGCGAGCCCACCACCTCTACGCCGTCCATAGTCATCCTCTGGAGCTGGTCGCCTCCCTGGGCGACGACAGAATCCTCGGTGCCGCACTGCGTGTCCTCGCCTGCGGTTGTATCGTTCAACGTAATTATTATGGTTAGAATTATTACAGCCGTTCCTCGATCGCTCCGAGAGTCTTAAGTTATTATTTCGAGAGCAATTAAGTATCTTTCTCTCTTTCTTTCTCTCTCTCTCTCTCTCGCTCTCTATCTTTCTCTCTCTATTTCCCAATGTAAATAGCGCGCGTGTTAAAAACTTGTGAATAATGCGTTAATGTCTCGCGATCTGTCGCAGGGATCGGTCCGTGGTTCCGTCACTCTACTCCTTTCGGCTAGTAGGATTAGTATGCGATTAAGTATGCGGTGACGTTTCCCACTTTCTTGCTCGAGATCGCGTGGCGCGCGCCCTTGGGTTAACTCGATCGAGCCGTTCGCGCGCCGCTTGACGCGAGAAAAAAGGGTGTCTTCCTTTCCCGCCTCTTGTTTCTCTATTTTTCTTTTTTTTTACCTCGATGGATGCCACCGGCCGTGGCCGGCAACACCGCGTCGCGGAACGGACCACCACCGACCACTAGGAATCACCATCACCGACACCATTTACCACCACCGTGCGCCAGGCGAAGTTAATATACGCGCGTGTAGGACCGTTGCGGCTCTCTCGTATACGCAATATATAGGTATATCTCGACGAATTTCGATTCAGGTACGGTCGTGGTGTCCGGTACCACCGTTTTCTCACCTCACGGACGACGAAGCGAAGAGAGGTTTATATAAACGACGGGTATACAATCGTGGGACCGACCGGTCGCGTTTACGTCCGGGGGCGCGCACCGCTCTCGGGGTAATACACTTCTCTTCTCACCTTCCCGACGTTTACGGACGCGTCCGTGAGAGAGAGCCGACGTGAGTACGCGTCGGGAAGCGAGGCAAAAGTATTCGTGCGGCGGGAGAAGACGTGTCCGGCAACCCGCCACCCGCCGTCGCCGCCGCCGCCGCCGCCGTCGCCGCCGCTGCCGCTGCCGCCGTCGCCGCCGCCGCCGCCGCGTCAGGTCCACGCGTGCTCCGAATCTCTGCGCGAGTGAGAGCAAATACAGCGTGTATGATCCGGGAGCGTGTGCGTAGGCGCGCGAACGTGAGCACGCGCGCGCGCGCGAGCGCGAGCGCGAGTGGCCGCGCGCGTTTTACGTCGCGTCGGCGAACTCTTTTTCTCTTTCTCTCCTTCTCTCTTTCTCTATCTCTATCTCTCTCCCTCTTTCTCTCTCTGTCCATCCATGTTTATCCGTCTCTCTTTCTTTCCTTCTCTTTCTCTATCTCTCTTTCTCTTTCTTTCTCTCTCTCTTTTTCTCTTTCTCTCCCTTTCTTTAAGCGCGGCTCTCCTTCGGGTAAAGGTATACCTCGGCCGAGAGAATGTGCATTGGCTCGTGCACGGGCGACGTTGTTAAAGGACGCGCGATGCGTGGGGGTCGCGCACGAACTGAGCCGAGCGGCGGCGCGCCCCGTAGTTTTATGAATGGACCGCCGAGACTGTCCCATATTTGGAAGCGCCGAGTCGAGACCGCCAGCCAATCCCCGCCCGGCCGGACCACTGTCTACGCACGCGTGTGTGCGCGCGCGTGGATACGTCTTCATACGTATGCGCGTATTTATATACGTTGCCAGCATATATACGTGTGTATTTAAATATACGCGCGTATATTTAAATATACGTACAAACGCGCGCACGTATATACGTGTATACGTGTACACGCACATGTATACATGCGTCTCGCATATACGCGTAAGATCTGAACGATCTCCCCCCCTTTCTCCCACCCGACCCCCCGATCTCTCCGTGCTTCTCGCGCCGCCCTCGCTGCCCGCCCGTGCTTACGAACGTATATCTAACTTCGCCCCCCCCCACCAGTCGCCCTTCGCGCGCCGCCAACCTCCCCCTGTCTCCCTTCGCGTACTCCTAGCGTCCCACCATCGGAGCTTCCTCCTCCTCTCCTCCCCGTGCTTCCCCGCCGGCTCCACAACCCCGTTCACCGGTGACGTAGGGCATCGTGACGTAGACCCGCGGCGCACGACTGTTGTCCCCCCACGAGGCACTTTCGAGAACGCGCGCGAGCACGCGACGGAGATGGAGGAAAAGCCGCGAATTGGCGTAATAAGGAGAGCGGAAAAGCGCGGAGCGGAGGACGGCGCGATCAATCCGACGCGGTTGTGTCGCGGAGCGGTTTTGTCGCCGATCGGGCGATCGAGCTGAGGGGTAATTCTTTTTTTCCTTTTCTTGTGTGTGTTTTTTTTCTGAGAGAGGAAGAGAACGTGGCGTCTCTCATTTTCGGCCGCGTATACATATAGTTAATCATAAATTAAAATAAGCAGGCCGGACCCGTTCCGGATCGCGTGTCGGAACCTGTCGTCAACGTCAACGTCGATATGCTATTCCCGTCATAATCCCGCGCCTGTCGGCCGGCGCGAAATTATTAGCGGCTCGTATACGTTAGCCGGGGCAAATATGGTAAGCCGTGCCCCGTGGTAAATTATCTTGTATTACCGTCAATTATGCGCGAAGTCCTAGAGAATAAAGTATTCACTTAGGCGCGGGACGCGCGCGCAGGCAAATTGCCGCCCATTTACCGCGTTATATCGGTAACTTAAAGCCCGCGCGCGGAAAAGGCGCGCGGCATGATAATGAAATTCCGTAGATCGTTATCCCGCGCTCGCACGCGTATCGGCGCGGGATGACGTGGAGGAAACCATCGATCGCGGGGGAGCAAGAGATCTGCTCTCCTCCTCCTCTCTCTCTATCTCTCTCTATCTTTCTCGCTTTGGTCTACTCCGCTATTATTGGATCTATCACGACGGACGGAGCGTCGAGAATGCGACCTCTCGCGTTTGGCCGATTGCATATACGTATAAATAGTTACGCAGTCATCTCGCGGTAAAAGCGATACAAATCCATCGCGTATGGAGAAAGTAATTTTATCCCCGGACGGTGGTTTTCTCTTTTTCTCTCTCTCTCTCTCCCTCTCGCTCTCCCTCTGTCTCCGTCTGTCTCTTAACATCTGTGAGCGCGCGTGTCTGCCATACGTGAGACCGATCCCGGCAGCTCTCCTCGGGAGGGTAAGAGACGCGTGCCATTTGTGCGGTAGACGCGTGCGTCCGCGTCCGTGCGTGCCTGCGTGCGTGCGTGAGCGCCCGGTTAGCAGTCACGTATATGCGCGCACGCGCGTACGATCTTTTTCTCGCGGGCGTCTCGCAACCACCTGATGCCCTATTTGGCACCACGCGCTGCCACGCGCCCGTTCCCCCTCTCCCTTCCCTCGCTCTCTCGCGTCGCTCCGTCTTGCTCTCTTGGTGTCTCGCCCCCCCCCTTCCCCCTTTTCATCGCCGGGTGTCTATTCGCTCTCTATTTCTCTCTCGCTCCTCCTGCTCGCGCGTGTTTTTTACTTCGCTTTTTGATTATCCCTCGATGAGGAGTGTGCTGTATAATCGCGTAAAATAGCTCGAGCTCGGGAGCAGATATACGTAATAATATATTTAGATTTCCACAAAAGCGAGATACAAGCCATTGTATCTTATTTTACTGCTCTCCGTACATATTCATGATTGTTACAACGTAATGTTGAAAGATATCGATTTAATAGAAATCTATTCTATGTTGGAGGTATTAATAATATTATTGATGACGAAATTATATAGCTATCAGGAAATAGATGCTAGCAAGTGTGTGTGTGTTTTACTTTCGGGTGATGCGGACACCGGGCCTATAATTATAATTAATGCTAGGCGCCACCAAATAAGCCGATACTCTCTTCAAGAATATATTATACCTACTATTGATCTCTCTCATATTTTTATTTCATCTTTACTGTCATTTGAGAAATATATGCTACATACATAATTATTTTTTCACACGGAAGAATGATTACCATATCAATGAATCAATAATATAGAAATGGTCTAAACCGTTTTGTTAAGTTTCTTTGCAACAATAATACGCACAAGACACTCTAAAATGATCTCGCGCGCGACGATGCGCGTTGATACTACTTCTGTCCGATCGAATTTACGTAAAAATCAGTGCACGTACGTACGGGAGCAAAGAGACAGTGACGCACGCCAACGACGTTGATCTGGCACAACAAAATGTTCTAAAATTACCGGTGGCTCTTGACGAGGTGGTGGGCGCGCACTATTCGTGGCCCTAATCGACGCGATTTTGCGCGGGCGAACGGCGCTATTTCAAGCCGCCACGCAACCACCTGAGCCACCCAGCATCCCCAAATACCCGGGATGACTAGTGCGGCGAGCGTCAAATATTTCCCTATGCTACCGATGAGTCAGTCAACCGATGATGCGAAAGATTTTTGGCAGAGCGCGCCTCTCCTCCTCCTCTCGCTCGTCATCGTCGCGCTGCCTTTCTGCGTTTTATATTTTTTTATTGATCGACGCAGCGAGAGACGCAGCTCGCGTATGGTATGGGATAAATAAGAACCGCGCGCGCGATAACAAACACGATATTGGAGCTCGCGGAAATTTTAGATTGACGCGAGATGTAAATTAGGATGCTTTCGGGGATGACGCTATACGTAAAATTACGAAAAGCGGACAATGCGAGATGTTCTGGCACGAGACCGCGCGCGATTCTGGATTCCTTCGAAACGATGCGCTTTAAAGCACACTGCGAATTCTTGGTACGCGAGAGACGCGAGTATTTAAAAACTTTGAATACAAAAGCATCGAGTAAGCTTATTGTGATTAGATTTTTGTTTGAGGAAAACCAGATTTAAAAAAAGCGTATTAGGAGTTTTAAAGGAAAACGTTTACTCGTACCATTTAATCTTTGGAGAGCCGCAGAATTTTTTTTTTTAAATGACGAAAATTTCGCTACAAGGAAACATATATAATCGGATGCGAAATGTGACATTGATTTGGAGACGTTTTAACGTCTTGCGCAGCCCTTCAAAGATTAAAGTAAACACCTTCTACAGTATATAACATTTAATATCTATAATGGAAGTATAATGCACATTCTGTCACTTAAATATTCTTGAACGTTCAGTTCTATCTTATTCGGCAATATTTACAATTTCTAATATTCATGCTTGTGTTTGGTATCCTTAAACTTCGCAACGCGACTTCAATGCGACGTTTCTACTCCATTTTCCTCCGCCGGTTGTCTTTCCATTCTACGTCAAAGCGACGTGTACTATTTCGAAAATTTCACACATGATCTCGAAAACTAAAAATAATAGACGACGATTTCAAGGGAACGCACAAGTGAGAAATATATGTCGTGAAAGAAGCGCGCGAGCGTACTCTAATGCTTCTCACGCTTTGTATCGCCGTTTATGCGAAACAGCCGCTGCAGGCGATGTGTATTTTAAATCGCTCCTGTACCGCGGCGATCGCTATTACGTACTTTGGCGCTTATACGCGAGCTGGTGAGTCACACGACGAGTCCGCGACGACTCGCGAGGCTTTCGCACGTTTTTGCGCGACACGTTACCGAGATCGTTGATTAATGATCGTTTCCGGTAGATACGAGCATTTACTTCGACCTTTCAGTAGCTTGCACCGCAATGATGAGAGCGTTATTTCCGATTATGACAGTTGCCGCAGATCATTATCTATACATCAGATCGCGACGCGAGGGTAATTTAATTACGAAACCCTGAACGAGATAAAAGCCCGAGAGGTCGCCGAAGATATTCGGCAACTTTTCGAAACATATAGAAAATTGGAGACAATCTTTCAGATGTCAGATCTTACATCTATTGAAAATCGAGAATTAAAATACTGAACCAGTCAAGATACAATTTTTTTAAGGGAAAATTGCGGAAAAAAAATAATTCTTTTTAAACAGTTATATTAATGGCTAACCAGCGGCGCTTCTAAAATCACTGCCTATAGGCTATTACCTACGCTATCCATCATAGCTCGGGGAACGAGCTTAAGTTCTTCTCGCGCATACCTTGAGACTGAAATTACCGAAGCAA